CGAAGACAAAGGCGAAATTCGGACAAACAAACTTACAAGTTTACTTTCAGCAGATAATTTTCACAGCCGATCGCAGTTGATTTTAGTTTACATGGGYTATTATTRTAACTTTAAGTAAAAATAATAAAATCGGTTCGTATAATCCTCGTAGCGGTTAAACAGAATGCAATGTTTGTCCGAATCTTTAAGCTATTTTTAGAATCAGTGCGCTGCGCTATTATAATTATGATAATGAAAATGTATAAATGTATGAATAAAAATGGAGATGGACCTAAACTGAAGTCTGAGAAAAAATCTGGAACTCCGACTGTTTCTGAGTTTTTTTAGAATTATAATTATCATCATTTTGATTCACAAAAGGTTTTTAATCCCTGCTGATTTTTAAGTGAATACCGGTCGCGACATGTATCGTTTATTCCAGCGAAACTTGAAAACTCCACATAGTAGCTTCACCACTAATGCCGTGTTTTGCTAGAAAGTTAAACTTGACACTGTAATCAGCAAAAACCAGTCATAGATTATAAGAAAAGCGTAGGAAGTCACGAGCTATTTGATGTTGATATCCTCATCATCCATGCGGAAATAAATACATCCCACCATCGATAAACCAAATATTTGACCCACGTTTACTTCAAAAACTTTTCCACAGATGTTACAACAAACGAATTAAATGTCATGGAATTCATAAATATATTTTCTTATTTGACAAAAACGCCTTATTTTTGAAGTAGTGAATAAAACTAGAGGGATGTGTTATGATATGATATCCTTCACGTCCATCCATAGGTGAGTACAGACAGGAACTACATCTAAGATAGTTCGTACTTTGAAACACAATGAACGACTGAACTGCTATACACAAACTAGCTTGACTATTAATATATAGTAAAAGTTTAATAGCGAAAATTCGAAAGTTTTCTCTTTTACTGAATTAAATATATACACATTCATAAATGAATGAAGCCGAATTCACTTTCGATTGACCCGAATAATTTAATAGCATCTTCTGAGCGGTTTCTAGGTCACTTACCTTTTTATGATTGGTTCTTGCCGACGTTTTACCATCGGGAAAAGCTTTGGCGTCATCTGATAGTAAAATTAGAATAAACAACGCGAAAGAAAATAGCAAAACCAGTTTCAAAACAGCCATCTTTTCTGTGGAGTAAGGACTCGAACACTGAGCAAGAGGATGTCGATATGACCATTCAAGCGCAACACTGCCAATCATATATTGATCAAATATCACGAAGGTTGATCAAGAGAAGAGGTCGTTTACGTCAGTGACGTCGAATGAAGATGTCATGTTGATTGTCAGATTTTCCATGGCCTAGTGAATGATGGATCGAAAGGCCATGCTTGTCATTTGTAGTTTTTGCTTTGGAAAGTGAACTTTACTTAGGCTTGTCTTTTTTAAAGCCGAACAAAAACTTCCTTTGTTTCGCATAAGAGTCATAACCCTATCCTTAAGGAGTGTTCTTGCTACGATATCTGTAACATGCGGAAGGAAATTCAGGCTGAGCATGAATTTAATTTCTTGAGGGCAAAGAGGTTACTGCGTGACGCCCAGCTCCTCCATAAAACCCCAACTAACTTTTTTTACAGTATTTTTCTTTTCTGTTTTTTTTCCCCCTGTAAAAAAGCTTGGAATTCGAATCAGACGAAGGAGAATAAGACACCGCTCGTCTGTTACCACACCGTGGGTCCCAGGGGCTCTCTCGCTTCTCGGATTTCACTGAGTGTTTCACTGTATTCCTTTTTCTTGAAGCAAAAAAATTGAAAAACCTCAAGACCGCACAACGTGTTGAAAGTATGTAACGTATGTAAAATGTAAGATACTACTTCTGTACTACTGCTACATTATGGTTAGTTCAGGGTATTTTTTCCCCTGAACTCTGAAGACGAAATGTCGGTTACCAGTGGGAGCCCCTGATATCTACTACTTCCCGCTAATACGGGAAGCTCTCTAGACACTGACTAGTTTTACATATGACTCTGATTCAAAAGCTAGTTATTTATCTGCTCCGCATGACTCTATTTAACAAATGCCGCCATGCTGTGGCATCGTTTCTTGGAAAACACTTTTTCCGCTTTGCACTCAAACCATCGAATTCGTAGAAAAGATTACTCGTTGACATTAAAAGATCCATATCGCCGTCTCTAAATTCCACTATATGCTAAATGTCACATTTATTTTTAATGGTTACATTAATAATAATAAAGTTTATTTATATAGCGCTCATATCCATGAGCATGTCCAAGGCGCTTTACAACAGGAATATATGCATAAATTATATATATGTATTTACAATATTTACAATGCTACGTATTTAAAATATTAATAAGTAAATCTAATTAGCGGACGTATCTCGATAGCAAAAAAAATATTATAAAAGGAAAAACTTATCTTAAAAGCCTAAAGGCAATATGCATAAAAGCAGGAAATGAATCAAACAAAAGAGATCTAAATATATTTCCTATTATTAAGGAAT